CTTTTTGATTATTTTGAAACACCCAATTTTGTAAAATATAAATTTCAATTCCAACTAAAACTCTTTTAGCAATGGCTACATTCATCCATTAAGCAATTTCCAACTTCTCTTTCTTTTTTCTTGATGAAGCCCCGTTTGTTTCACTAAGCACCGTCACTTACTCTCTCTTCTTCTTCTTCATCGTCTACGTTTGTGTCTCTACATGTTTAGCATTTAGCTTTGTCTTTTCTCCTCCTCTTCTTTTTGGGTTGTTCATTTCTCTCCCCCAAATTTGCTCATGAACTTTTTAGTTTAAACAAAATAAAAATAAAAATTTGAAAGAGAAATTTTATTAATTTTAAATGAGGGGAGGAAAAAAAAATAAAACAAATAAAAAGAGGTTTGAATCTCAACTAATTTTCTTTTAATTGCGTCAGATGAGAGAGAAATCAAGAGAGAGATTAGGAATAGGGGCCACGACAAAGGCTATTGAGGTGAAAGAGAGAGATCTCGGAACAGGGGCCAGGACAAAGGCTATTGAGGTGAAAGTCAAAGGTGTAGTCTTCATCTCTGCATGTAAATCCTCATTTTGAAGTGAGAGAGAAAACTGTGATATTAAAAAAAGAAAGTAGATGAATCCGAGGATTGAGGGGAGGGTACACACAGTGGGGGTATCCTCCCCCATCCTCTCACTTTGTCCTCGGTTCTCCATTCTATGGTGATCATCACAAAAAGTTGGGCCTTGTTCATCTTTATCCATCAAAAAATTGGCATAATATGTGCTGTCTCACTCTCATTTCTACTCAAATTCGTGTAGCCACCATGTATTCTCCTCTAAACTCAAATTCACCTCATAATTTCCTACTTTGTTATTGCCCTCTATGTGTTTGATGAATGTCTCACCTCCCATGTTTTTGTTGGCGGTAATGTAAGGTGTTGCCCATTCAACCCCATCTTTTGCCTCTACCAACTTTTGGAAGCTCTCAAATTTAAGTTCAGACTTCCTCCTCTTTTAATGCCTTTCCATTTCAGAATTCTTCTTTTTGATTCACTCTTTCTTCTCATCTATTTATAAATTGTCACCTTCTCCTCTTGCTTTTGCCTTGATGAAACCCCATTTCACTAAGCACCAAGCAATGTTGCTGACTTTCTATGTGTCTCCTTCTGTGTCTGTGTCACCTTCTGTGTCTATGTCTCTGCATGTTGAACTTTTAACTTTGTCTCTGCATGTTAAGCTTTTAAACATTATTTCTACTCTTTTTTGGGGTTGTTCATCTCTCTCCTCCAAAATCTGTCATTACCTCCTCTCAAAACTAGAAGTTTGTCTCTGCTCTTTCTAGGTTGTTTATCTCTCTCCTCCAACATTTGTCCTCTTAGTTTCTCTCAAATCTAGAAGTTTAATCTCTTTTCTCTTAGACTCTCCAAAGGAAATGGTGCACAATATGGGTTATTGGGTCCTTGATTGTCTCCTTAGTTTCGCCAAAAATCTTCATATCTTGGTGGTGGATCATGAAATGTTATCTCTCAAGCACTTGAGTTCATTGCTTAGCGTCTTATAATGGTACATAGCATCACAATATTTCCATTAATCTCTTTCACCATCCTAATTTTAATTTTTTAAGCAACGGTCTAAAGTTAATGTAATACTTCTTTTTGTATCAGAATAAATGTTGCAATCCTTAAAAAAAAAAAAAACTCAATGCATTTTAGTAGTAGATGTATGATGGGGTTTGAGCTTGAGAAATTGTTATGGATGTTGTTGTGATGTTTTTATTTAATACTATGTTTCCATATAAGGATATTTTCTTAATGATTGAGCGCAGTCCCATCTTCTCAATTTCTTCTTTGTCTTTTCGTGGGAATTAGAAATAAATTCAGAGCATAAAAGTTAAGATATAAATCTATTCCTTGTTTATGTTTCAATAAGACAAATTAGGTGTGTATCTAATCTATTATCTATCCATTTTCTCAAAGTATAATTGGTTTGTTGGTTCATTTATGGGACTAGTTATAGTAATATCCTTCAGCTTTAAGCTTTTTTTTTTCCTTTTCTATGAACTTAGTGTTTATGACATGATTTTATTTTTTAATTTTATTTTATTTTTGTAATTTTCAATTAGGATCACTAGATTAGGATCTATTGCTCTATCAATGATTCAAGAAAAAGGTGACCAGCCTTGTCAGGGCTAATTTTGGAAATGTAGGAAGCCAACAACAATTAGCATATTATGATTATCTCTTAAATGTTTTAGAAGACGATCCACATGACTTTGACAGCGATTTTAATCTGAGTGATGTAGATAAATACAGCAAGTGGCTAAGGAACACTGTTCTAAAAAACAGAAGTGGTCCATATAGCTTTATCAATAACAATGCAGAAAACTTTCTAGTTGAAATCAATCAATAAATAGGTATGTTTTACTTCTATAATGTGCTCAATGTTTTTAGGTTGAAGAGTCTTAAGAATTAAGATAAAAGGTTTAACCATCAAATCAAATTTCAACTCCAACTAAGACTCTTTTAGCAAAATTGTGCTACTCTCATCCATTAAAAAATTGGGAGCTTCTCTTATTGTTTTTGCATTGACGAAGCTCCATTTCACTAATCCCCTGTCACTTTCTCTCTCTCTTCTTCTTATCATCTGTGTTTGTGCATGTTGAGCTATTAGCTTTGTCTCTTCTTTTTTGGTTCATCTATCCCCCAAAATTTACTCTCTCATTTTTTTTTTCCTACCCATAGTCCAATCCATCAACTACCCAAATAGTGGCCCAAGCCCAGGCACACTTTCGACTCATCACAACGTCGTCAACATTTCGTGTGGCTTATGTGCGGCTTGCATCGGCTCGTGTGGCTCATTATAATAGTCTAACTTTCGAACAATAAAATATGTCAAATGTAAGAGTGAATCCAATTTATTTCCTATCAAAAAATAATTTTGATAAAATTTCATAAATTTAATATAAAGAAGTTTATAAATACTGGTGGTAACAAAAAAAAATCAAAATATGAGCTTAATAATATAATAAAAACAATTAAAGTAAAACAAATAAGAAGAACTTATAAAAAAAAAAAGGAAAAGAAAAATGTGGAGAAGGATTTATTAACGGCACCTCTTAATTCTATCTTTAATTTTAATAATTTTTTACCCCACTCTCACTCCTTGGATATTATTATTATTTATACCTAATCAAATTTAAAACCAAATCTATTTTTATTCATCCATAAATATTATCTCAAAAATACTCTAAACTTTTAAAAGTATAAATAACAATTTTAAATTAAAATAATTAAAAAAATATAGTTTATTTCAAAAAATATTTTTGAAACGTTGAATGGCGTTTCAAAAATATCATTCATTAATACACTTCAACTTAAAAAAAATAATAAAAAATACTCATCAGTTGTGTTATGTTTAAAAAATAGTCATTAAATCTAAAAAATAGCATTAACACCCTTCACCATTTAATTTTTTTCCGATCTATGGCATCTCATAAATTAGCTCCAAATTTTTAAAAATTCAAGGGTACTTTTGAAACATTTTTGAAAGTTTAATGATATTTTTTAAACTTTTTTGAAAGATAAGGGTATTTTCTAATAAAAAAAAACTAATTATTTTCATCTAAAACTAAGACAACCACATATATATATATATATATTAATTTAAAGTATTTTTGAGATTTTCTTAAAAAAATTGAAGGGTAACATCAAAGCTTAATTTTTTAAACAAAATAGAGAGTATTTTTATTAATTTTTAATGAATGGAGCATTGCAAGGACATAAAAAGTTAGAAGGTTTGAATCTCAACTAATTTCTCTATACAAAATTAATTCAAGATTTGAATGGTGTAGCATGAGAGAGATATCAAGAGAAATGTGGGGATAGGAGCTAAAGTAACCACAAGCAAGATTGAGGTGAAAGTGGGTGCATTACATGGAATCTGGGAAAGGGGCAAAAGTATCAATAAGGGACTAAGGTTAGGTTGACTGCATGTAACACAGTGGAGAAATTTGGGAGAGGGGCAAAAGTATCGAAACCAGATGTAGGTTAGGTTGACTCAGGCAGAAGTATCGACAAGAGGAGGTTAGGTTGACTCAGTTCATCAATACATGTAACGCCCATGGAGAAATCTGAAAAAGGCCAGAAACACGTGAAAGAGAAATCTGGGAAAGGGGGACGGAGGTTAGGTTGACTCAAGTAGAAGTATCGACAAGCGATGGAGGTTAGGTTGACTCAAGCAGAAATATCGACAAACGATGGAGGTTAGGTTGACTCAGTTCATCACTACATGTAACGCCTGTGAAGAAATCTGGAAAGGCCAGAAACACGTGATAGAGAAATCTAGAAAATCGGGCCAGAAACACGTGAGAGAGAAATCTGGGAAATTAGGTCGAAAACATGTAAGAGAGAAATCTGAGAAATCGGGCTGTTAACACGTGAGAGAGAAACCGGAGAAATCAGGTAAGAAACATGTAAGAGAAACCGGGGAAAGATGCAATGTAATGTAGTCATCACTGCATGTAAGAGAGAAAGCCACAAAAAGAACAAAAGTGGTGAAAAACAGAAAAAGAAAGGAGATGAAACCACGAGGACGGGAGGTAAGGAAGGTACACACCATGTGGGGGTACCCTCCCCCTTCCTATTAGAGATGTGAAGTTCTCTATTCTTTTACATAGTTCTCTGTCTTATCACAGATGTGACGATCATAAAAAAAAAGTGGGTCTTATTAATTGACATAATATATGATGTCTTTCATTTCAATTTAGATTCGTGTATCCACCAGGTATTCTTCATTGAAACTCAAACTCACCCCTACAACTTCCTACTTTGTCATTACCCTCTACGTGTTTAATGAATGTCCCCCTCTTTCCTTTTCTTTTAATGTCTTTCCATGTCGGATTTCTTCTTTTTCATCCACTCTTTGTTTCGTTTGAAGCACCAAATTTTGTAACTATGGGCTACTGTCATCCAATCGCCAGCTTCTCATTTTGCTTTTGCCTTGATGAAGCTCGATTTCACCGTCACTAACTCTCTCTCCTTCTTCTCGCATCTTGAGCTTTTAGCCATGTTTAATGAATGTCTCCCTCTTTCCTTTTCTTTCAATGTCTTTCCATATCGTATTTCTTCTTTTTCATCCACTCTTTGTTTCTTTTGAAGCACCAAATTTTGTAACTATGGGCTACTATCATTCAATCACCAGCTTCTCCTTTTGCTTTTGCCTTACTAAAGCTTTGTTTCACTAAACATCGTCACTAACTCTCTCTCCCTCTTCTTGCATGTTGGCCTTTTAGCTGCTCTCTCGGTTTCTCTCAAATCTAGAATTTTAATCTCCCTTCTTACATATTGATATCTTCATATCTTGATGGTTACCCTTGTCTCTCAAGCTCTTGATTTCATTGATTGAGCAGATTCTTTCAATGGTGAAGGCAAGGGTCTAAAGCTAATGTTATGCTTTTTTCTTTTTTCTTTTTTCTTTTTTTTCTTTTTTTCGTCTATGGTAACATGTGGCAATATATAAGTGTAGTCTTGAAAGAAACTAAATGGAGTTTGGGTTTATGAAATTCACATGGATAATAATGTATTTATTATCTATTTGTAATAACATTATTATATCACAATTTATATATATATTTTTTAATTTGGTTATACAAAGTAAAATAATCATTTTTGATTTATTTATTATGTATTTGTAATAATATTATTATATCATAATTTATATAGTTTCTTTTTAATTTTGAATTTTTGTTGTATAGAGTATCTTTAAAATAACCATTTTTATTGTTTTTTAATTTCATGAATATTTTTTGGGTACCAATCCAACCCATCTAAATGTTTGGGTTGGATAAAAAGAAAATCTCTCAACTAACTCGTACACTCAATTCTATTTTTAATTTTAATCATTTTTTAACCTATACCCTCATTGGATATTATTTATGAAGAGAAAAGAGGTTGGATCCATTAGTTAAACCCTAATTTAATGTTATTTATACCTAATCAAATTCAAAATAAAATGAGTTTTAATAAAAAATTGAAATATTAAAATTAAATAAATTTCAGAATAAAATAAATATTAAATTAATAAAAATATGTCTAATATATCTAAAAAAAATATGACTTTCACCAACTTTAAATTAAAAAAGTTCAAAAATATAGTTTATTTAAAAAATACTTTTGAACTTTGAAGTGTGTTTCAAAAATACCATTCATTGATACGTTTCAACTTTTAAATAAAAGTGCAAAAAGACACTTAGTATTACTATTATGTTTAAAAACTACTAATGAAACCTTAAAAGTAGCATTTTTTTTTTTTTTATGATCTATCAACATCTTATAGATTATCTCTGATCAATTGACATCTCATAGATTATATCCAAATTTTTAAAAACTCAAGGATACTTTTAAAACATTTTCGAAAGTTTAATGATATTTTTTATTTTTTTTTAAATTGATATTTTTGAAAAAAAAAATTAATGTTTTTTCATCCAAGTGCAACTGATTTTTTTTTTTTTAATTTAAGAGTATTTTTGAAATTCTCTTAAAAATTAAAAAATAGAAGAGTAACATCAAACTTAATATTTTAAACAAAATAAAAGAGTATTTTTTTTTTATTAATTTTGAATGAGGGGAACATTCAAAGGACATAAAAAGTTAAAGTTTGAATCTCTACTAACTTCTCTTTCCAAAATTAGTTCAAAGATTTGAATTGTGTGAGATAAAGAGTGAAATTTGGGAATAAGAGCCAGAAGTAAGGCTAGGTGAGAGTGAAAAGGTAGAGAAATTTGAGAAGAGGGGCAAGACACTAAGTGAAAGTCAAAGGTGGAGTTATCACATGTAATCAGAGTTATCACATGTAATGAGAGATCATCACATGTTCATCACAAAGCTCCCGTTCAAAATGAGAGAGAAAGCCACAAAGTGAGATTAGAAAAAAAGAAAGGAAAAGGGGATAGAAGTAACTACAATCGAGATTGAGATGAAAGTCAAGAAATTAGTTTAATATTTGAATTGTATAGAATGAGAGAAAAATCCGGGGAGAGAGACAGAAATAACAATAGTAATTGTGATGGATGAGAGAGAAATTAGTTCGAATGGTGTGGGATGAGAGAGAAATTTGTGAAGAGGGACCCGTAAGAACAGAGCCATATCATCACTGCATGTAAGCTCCACCTTCAGAGTGAGAGAGAAAGCCACCAGGTGAGATTAGAAAGAGAAAGGGGAACCACAACTTGAGATTAGAAAGGGAATGGAAAAAAGGAGCTAGAGGTAACTACAAGCAAGATTGTGGTGATAAGATAGAAATCTAAGATAAAAAAAGAGTCAAAGAAATTAGTTCAAGATTTGAATTTGAATTGGGTAGGATAAAAGAGTAATATGAGAGAGGGGCCAAAAGTAAGCACAGAGCAATTCATCACTGCATGTAAAGCCAATTTCAAAGTGAGATTAGAACAAGAGAGGAGATGAAAGCGATGGCTGGGAGGAGAGGGTGGGGGTACACACCCCTTTTCCCTATCTTTGTCCTTCCAAGTTCTTTATCCTTTTACAGGTTTCTCTTTCCTTTTACACATTTGTCTAAAGTTATCTGTCTTTTTACACATTTCTATGAAGTTCTCAGTCTTTTTACACATTTCTATAAAATTCTCTATCTTTTTACATATTTTTGTAAAGTTTTCTGTACACATTTCTCTAATGTCTGAATTCAGTCATTTTCTGTTTCCTTTTAAACACCCAATTTTGTAAAAGTACTAAGGATATAAATTTCACTTCCAACTAGCAATGGACTACTCTCATCCATTAATCCAGCTTCTCCTCTTGCTTTTTCCTCGATGAAGCGCCGTTTGTTTCACAGTCACTTGCTCTCTTTACTCTCTTCTTCATCTTATTCATATATGTCTTGTTTCTGCATGTTGAGTATTTAGCTTTATCTCTTCTCCTTTTTGTTGTTCATTTCTCTCCTCCATAATTTGCTCCCCAACTTCTCTCAAATTTAGTTGTCTCTTCTCCTTTTTGGGTTGTTCATTTCTCTCCCCCAAAATTTGCTCTCCAAATTCTCTTAAATCTAGAAATTTAATCTTCTTCTTTCATACTTGTGGATCATGAACCATTCTTCAAGCATTTGACTTCATTATTTAAGCAATAGTGTACATAGCAATGTTGGGTTTTATGTCTTAAAACTCATAGTTTGTAAACAAAAACATATTCTATTTTCAATAAAGTTATTATTGTTGTTTATTCAGTAAAGATTATTATTGAATAAAGTGAACTTTACGATCATTAATCTAAATCCAATAAACTAAGAACACTCTGGCTATAGTATGATTACTTGAACTATATGTAGAGACATAAGAGTTGATCAAGTTCAAGTATATAGTCAAAATGATCTATAGTATAAGGATAAGACTGAGTACCTTATTCTGAGGACACTATGGATGCAGCCCACTTTTGTATATGATATAAACAATGTGATCACTAAAATTGTACATGTGGAGACATGTGAGTGGGGGCATCCTATGCAATGAGTATTGCATAAGATCGAACCATGAAGAAAATCACTCTCACTTTATAATGTCGTTTACTGTTGAGACTGATTTTCTTTTCATTCGATGACCTAGGTAACTTGATCTTAATCCTGAGCTAACCATGAACTCCTGTTTATTCGGAATTATCCTTATATTTGCATGGGTGAGAATGGCTCAAGTTCGCCGACTCAATAGGCCTCCCATTTCAGGGGTAAGACTGGGTAAATAGCTAGGGACGTGGGGTGCAAGATGAAATTCTTTCCTACCCACTTTTAGGGATAGAAGAGAGGTAGTTCCCTTAAGTACTGATTTCATGTCTTGAACAAGGGGCCCCACCCTCTCATTGGCTTGAGAGGGATTCGGTTTACTAGTTGGACCACAATCCAATTGTTCATTAGAGGATCAGTGAGACATAAGAAACAAGAAGTAACTTTAGAGGTAAAACAGTAAATTGACCCAACTCTAGTTAGGAACAACATGTGAAGGATCAACTTACTAATAATGGTTATATCAAATGGACATAAATATATCTATAGTGAGGGGAGTGCAACTACTAGGCTATAGTGGAATGTCTTAGTAGTTAACAAATGTTGGTTAACAAGGTTAATGAGTTTAACCGGTTAATCTTGGATCGTTGGAGCCCATGATCTATCGGTCCATTAGATCCCTCTGCTAGCTCATATCGGACTAAACCATAGAACAACGTGACGAGTGAGTTCGAAGTGTTCGAATTCAAATTAGGGAGAATGCGTTACATATATACGATATATTTAACTGCATTTTTGTTTTATTTACGAATTAAACACAAAGAGAGAATCTGAGATAAGATTTAAATATCTTAATCAAATAGATGTCGAAATTAATTGGGATTGACATTTGAATTAATATTAAATATTAATTAAATAGTTTAATTAATCATTTAATATTACTTTAATTTGAAATTAATAATTCAAATGGAATGTTGAATCAAAATGAAGAAAGTCAAAATGGTGACTTCATTTAATGGAAAAATACATGTTAGTGGAATTTTGAGGTGTCAAAATTTGGTTAACCAAACTTGTATGCTTGCCAAATAAACCCCACAAATTTGAGTGGAATTTTGAGTGTCAAAATTTGGTGATCTCAACTTTGAATGAGCATGCAAACATGACTCTATAAATAGAGTGATCATAATACATGAAAGATCTTCTTGTTTGAGAAAAACCTATCACAAACACTCTCTTCATACATACAAAATCTCTCCCAAGTTTAGTCACTCACCGGATTCCACAATCTCATTTTAAGGCCGGAGGATAGTGGAGAAGACACTAGTGGTGGTTCGAAACCGGTTCGTAAGGAAAAAGAAATTTGAACTACAAAAAATTAGTATTCAAACTCATTAAGTTTTAATACTTATGAACATGCTAGTTATTTACTATAATTGATGTTCTAAAAGTGCCTAATCCAAATTGCTTCCGCATGTGTTATATTAACACCATCAAACAACACAATGAAATTTGGGCCTAAGTCTAAAACTAACCCATA